TAGAGCACGATGCGCACAATGAAAATTATCGAAATCAACTCCTCACAACGATATTTAATGATTCTTGATGCGTGAATTCAAACCACCCGCTCATGAAAGCTCAATGCTCTACGTGATTCTCATCGCGCGCTAAACGTTATCATGACAGTCTCTGCGCGATGTAAAAAACTGGCAACCTCAATCTTGACGCTTTGGCTCAGCTATAGCAAATTGCCTATAGTTCGAACAACACATGGTGGGGAATGAATATTGCTCGATTAAGAAACTTGCTGAGACCGTTGTCGTGCGCGATTTGACTCACGTAGAGCTTTGAGTTTCTTGTGAGCGGGCAGTTCAAATTCCTCGTAACCAATGTGAAATGAAAAGGTTAATATCTTCGTTAGGAGTTGGTTTCAGTAATTTTCGTTGCGCGAATCGTGTTCTGCGTGAAATTTTGGTTAAGAAACTTGTACCGGAATGCTTAAATTCGTACCTTGTATAGTGATCCATTGCATGTAGACGGCAGTAAGTCGTTCTTTTCCACTGCACTTAGACCAAAGCTGCCGTGTGGACGAAAAATCTCGTATATGAGCCCTCAGACGTTTCCAAAATCCACTCGATAAAATGTGAATTTCCTTGATACCTTACGATTATTTTTCTTCCAATATTCCGGAGAACCTTGGACTTGATTCATACCTGAAAATTTAAAGGGAGAATATTCACAACTTTCCTCAGAAATACATATTTAATTGGGGTCAATTTGGCGACGTCTGAATATTCATGCGACGTTTTTTCGGAGCACGACCGTGCTGCCGTGCTAAAGAAAAACGCCTTATGAACCCTCTGGCGTTGGCAAATTTACTTCGATAAAACACGAATTTCCTGGTAAACTTAGGAATATGTTCTTTCCAATGTATCAAATACTTTTGCTCGCAATTTCACCTAAAGTTCCTGAAAATCTCAAGGAAAAATATCGATGACTTCCCTCAAAAATGAACATTTTATTGAAGGAAACTTGGCAACTCCCAAATGTTAATACGGCGTTTTTCCTCAGCACGGCAGCGCATGAGTGTGACTCGGACGGCTAGACAAAATACCTTTAACTTGGGCCACTGGCCGCGGAGTCCACACCGCGAAGGAGCCCAGCGCAACGGCCAACTTCGAAATGGTTTCTTGACATACCTCAAACTGGTTTCCGCCCCCCGCAACCCCCCCTCCCTCCGTGGATTCCCCTGTCCCCCAGCCGATCGCGGCTTGTCTATTACAACCACGACCATCTAACATTGTTGCCTTTCCTAGACTTGGGTACATTCCCATCCTCATCGAGCCTAGAGTCCCTTTATGCGGAGAGTCAAGACAATGTGAATCCATTTCTGATTGGTTCCCGTATTTTAGGCCTTCACAGTGTCACAAACGGGAATAAAGATAATATTTTCACCGAGTGCAAAGACTGTAATCTGGAATGGACCAAGAAATTACGGGTTCGGCAAGGAATAAACGGAATGAGAGAAGGAACGGAGAAAGGAATTTGAGAATGGGCCGATCAAAGATTACAAAAACGTTCAATTTCTATAGTCTTTATTCCCGTTTGTGACTCCATGAGGGGGTGTTGTCTTGACTCGGTACTTTTACAGCAGCAGAATATTCTCATGCAGGGTGTCTACCAAAACAGGCTGACCGAAAATCAGCATTTTTACAGTACTTTTTCAGTACATTTCCTAGGAACTCGATACCTTCTCAACGGCAAAATTCAGTTATTTCCCAGTACCCTTATTTGACGCAATTCGAAAAATTTCAAAAATTTGAATCTCTCGCTTAAATGTTGACAAAAGTGATAAAAAAAATTCCGGACCTTCTTGCGGAATTTCCGCACTTTTCCGGTACTTCCGGACCACCCTTAAAAAATTAGTACTCTTTCCGGACTTCTAGACACCCTGATTCTGTGTAAATTTCAAGCTAGAAAGTTGGCTGCATACTTCTCTTCAAAAAAATAAAGTAGGAGCGTAATTTTCGCAACACTGCAATGGAAATACGTGGTTTTGCACTTGGGCCGACGAAGTATAACATAGACACGTGCCAAAAGCCAGATTTTTGAACAGAGAGCTGGTTGCTGGGGGAGGGGGCGGTGGAGTGATGGGGGGGGTGCATTAGGGTACATTTGCCGGTGCTTAAACACGACACAGTGAAGCAGGCCCTGCGCATGGGGCGAACCCATGCGTGTAATTACCACACTTGGCTACCTCATCAACTCGTCACCTGGGGTCAAGATACTTATCTACGAGCTCATTACAACCGGGCTAACCTAAATTAAAATTATTCCTCCCACAACCGAACCCAAATCTCGCGGGGGCAGCAGCGTAACGTCCGCGTTTCATGCACCACTTGTCAGGGTTGCAATGAAGATGTTGCATGTGTGAGGGATTTGCGATTTGACTGTTGTTTTTCATGTAAAAGTTCGCGAGGAACACGGTGGTGCCACTGGTTTTCTCTGAAATCATCTCCCAAGCTCAAAAAAGCTCTCAAACTGAGGCCAAAATGAAGGGGATATCCAGAGACAAGAGACCCTCCACTAGTATCTTGGTCATGGTGGAAGCTTTTACTTTCGGGACTTCAGCATTCTACTGTTGACTTACCTACATGGTTGATGTTTAACAACGTGTTGGCAGTTTCGTTTCGCAAACAAGCCGAAAATGGCCGAAGTTTGGGAAACTTGTTTGGCTCATGACGTCACCCGAAGCTCATCACCGACCATGTAGGTAAGTCAACAGCCGAAAATAGGGTGATGACTGTTGCTCCCTAATAATTGTCCATAAGGAATTGTTGAAACCCCGAAAGTAAAAGCTCCCACCTGTCGCTAGGAGGCCAGTGGAGGGTCTCTTGTCTCTGGGGATATCCCGCCCTACCCTGAGAGTCCACCTCTACGTCGAAACAAACTCTCCGTTCAAAGATAGGGAGCAAATACATTAGCAGGGTTGCCGTGTTTTCAGTTTTGGAGTCCTCAAATGAACAAGCAGTCCTGTCAATGTATTTGCTCCCTATCTTCGCATGGAGAGTTTGTCTTGATGTAGAGGTGGACTCTCAGGATAGCGTGGGATATCCCCTCCATTTGGGCCTCAACTTGAGAGCTTTTTTTGAGCTTGGGAGTTGATTTCAGAGAAAACCAGTAGCACCATCGTGTTTCTCGCGAACTTTTACAAATGAATCAACGGTCAAATCGCAAATCCCTCACACATGCAACATCTCCATTGCAAACCACTGGCGATTATGCAAGTGGACAACACTGTTTTCTCCCATTTAAATGCATTGAAAATATCGATTTTGGTCGAGACAAGCTGCCGTAACAAGAATCGATAGTTTTACACACATTTAAATGGGTTAAAAACAGTGTTGCTGGCTTTCAAGAATCGCCGCTGGTGCAAACTACAAACTTGCAACTGCAAATCAAATTTCAGTGCATGAATTATTTCATTAGACAAATCAGCGTTACAGCCATATAATGTCACCGGATGATCATGTATGTGGTTTTGTTTAGTTAATTTGTTTTTCTCCTGTAAAATTGAAGAGACTCAGATTTCTAAATATGTAGTTTTCGGATTTGGCCATTCCACCAGGTACTTGCAATTTTTTTTTCCACTGACAGGAGAATGGTGAAGAACATCAAAATCATTCAAAAATAGTCCTCAAGGCAAAGTATGAATTACAGCACAACAGTATGTGTTCCCTCTTCAAAATTTCACAAGGAAAACGAATCACACAAAGGGAAGTTTAAATATTAACTCTTGACAAGACAAACGTATCACATATTAAACTTAAATGGCAGAAATACAAGTGATGTCATTTGTGCAATCGAGCCTCCATTTGATTAATATTTAAAATACTTGTTAATATCTTGTTCAGGAGTTAGTTTCAAAACTTCCCATTGTACAAATTGTTTTCTACGAAAGACTTTGAAGAGAAAACATGTGACGTTTTCTTCTACTGCAGTTCTTGTCTGGAGGCCCTTTCAGTCTACTCACAGTTCCCAAGAATATGGACAATGACTTTTAATAATTGTGACTGCAGTTTCTATAGAAAAGTTGCATCCTCAAATATCCAGAAGCTTCTGTTCGAACCTTGTCACAACAGCTACTGTAGGCACAGGTGGGCTAAAGTCAAAGAAAAATACCAGAGAATACCATCCTATTAACGCTTAGCCCACTCCAATTCGAGTGTTTTGCTACTATTAGAAAGATCCAAACAGTCCAAAATTACCATACGTATCAACCAGTCAACCAATATTTTTCCTGATGTTCCTGCCTACCTATCTGCCCCAAACTTAACGTTCTTAAAAAAGTCTGAAAAAAACAAAAAATCTGTCATTATCAGCACATTGCGCTGATCAGTTTCTCAACTTCTGAGGAAGCGTGCTGATCGTATGTTGAGACAAAAGTCAAATCTTGTACGCATCAACTCATCATTGGGATGGGGGGCCATCTGAATACATGTTAGTACCTGCTCAGAGGTGCTCATCAGCAACTAATTCAAAATTATCATTCATCTCAAAATACGATGAGGAAGTTCCATCAGCCTCGTGTAGGTGGAGTAAAATCCTTTATTACTCTGTGCGAAACCCTTGATAGATGAAATTGCTCAACAAGATATTTTGGTTCTCAGGTAGGTTTGGGAGTTTTACCTTTCGACTTAAGGATAGGAAAGAGCCCCGTTATCGTCTATGTGCATCACATGTTTGGAGGACTTGTGGAAATACCCATCTAATAGAGTCCGTCTCAATCAAACTCCATAACCCCATGCCGATAGAAGTTCGCCGGGTTTCGGTGACGCCGGTGCAACGGTCAATCGATGATGTCTAGACCGAGGATTAAAAAACAAACCATCCTAGGAAACGTAAGAATATTTCGAGCTTCTCATTGTAAAGGTAACTCACATGAGAAAATGGCAAAACACAAATCCACACGATACGTGCTTATTTGAGGCGTGTAAGAAAGCGATGTGAATGTCTGAGACAAGCAGTTGACACTCACCTGTGCCTTTGAGACGAAATACACCTGTTCCGCTGCCTGGAGAATCCAATTAATCCAAAGTAAATGGGCACTGAATTAAAAATGACAGTGTGACACTAGTTTACGAAGCACGGTAACACTTCAGAAGTAAAGAAATTGTCACAACGAGTTATGAAAACACTGACACTACCACAAAAGTTGATAAGACAACAACAACACACACGGCGACGACCGACACAAGCCCCACACGCCACGGTCACCTCGGAACTGACATAGAATAAATAGACTACGTTAGTCTCTTTATTCTATGGAACTGAATCATCATCATCGAAAAAGAGATTTGTCGATTAGGCGAGCGGCGCGCTGCCAGCGCACTCTATCAGTCTAGACAGGCAACTCATGAATCAACAATAACATAACCTCCCCTCCAACAAATTCTTGCAATTCCTCCTTCTGCAGTCTGTAGAGGCAACAATTTTGTAAAAACAAATCGAAAAGCGTTTTTCCGTCACTTTTTCCGATAGTGATACGAAGTTTTATCATCAGACAAATATTACTTCCAACCAATTCAGTTTCTGTGCGCTAAGTAATCTAAATTTCTCACAGAGTTCTCAGCAGCTTTTCAAACATGGTCATAGACGTAAAACAGTCGCTTTCTTCCTTGTATCGGTATTTTAATGTTCCTAAAGAGTTTTCTTCCCAACTGTCATCAATGAAGGTTAGTAGCTCCACAAGAATTTCAAAATTATCTTAGTTTCTACTGGGCACTACACCACTCAGCAGGGCCATTCTCAGAGCTTGCGTCCAGCCAAGTTGGCACTTGTCTATTTTCTTTTTGCAAGCAATTGTGCATCAATCTGACAATAACAATCAAGAATCAACTAAAGTTAACGAAGTTTCTGCAGATAAATACTTTAGGAGGTCAACTGCGCAAGTTACTCAAAAGTAAACAACAGGTGTCAACTTATCTGATACGAGTTCCAGCACATGTGATGAGCTGATATGGTTTTCTCCTGCTGTGAGCGGAACCACCTCTTTTTGCTGTTGGAAAACCTCCTGACATCCGTCGATGCATACTTTTTTCAATGAAGTTAGAAAAGGAATTGTGTGCGTATCATTTCCCAGGGGGGGGGGGGAGAGATTCTCATCCTACTAAAAATTCTTGTAAGAATTTGCTGGTATATGTAGAGCTAAGTGAAGCATAAAAACTCCTATGGTTATCAATAAGTATCTTTTTACCAGAAGTGTGATGGTAGCTCACAGAAAGCCAGTAGAACATACCTAATATTTTTTTTTAAATTTTCCTCATTCATTTTTTTGATGAGCAAGAAATTTTAATGAAAGATAGTAATATCTTTGAAAATCGAGTATTGTCCTCATTGAAAAAACTGTCCCAAAAATTTTCTTTCCATGATCACTTTATTTGGGAGGTCTCTTTGGAGAATCACTTATGAAACAAACATTTTTACTTTTTGATTTTGAAAATAAATATGACATGAATGTGATAAAGAAATTCATATCATGTGGAGATCATCTATAATTGTATTGCTTTTAAGAAAAGAGTTTCAACTTTTGTTCCAGTTGCCACACCTTAATTCTGAAAATTTACCAGGCTGGACAGCTCTTGCTTTGAGTCGTAAATATGCGAAGAAGCTTGCAGGTCATAATGTAGAAGATGCAGCTTTTGTCAGGCAGTGGGTTGAGTACGCTGTCACGCAGGGAGTGCATGCTGATGATTCAACTAGTTCCAGTCAAGTCTTGAAGGTAAAACAAAATCTTACGGATTTATATTTTGATCTCAAGGAATCTTAACTGTTAAATCTAAAGAAGAACAGATACGTGAGTTTATCAATGTATAACTTACGATGCGTCACAAAAAAACTGCTTTTCTTTATGAGACGCAAATTCACATAAATCTTAACCGTCTCAATACTATACTTTTCCTTTCGTAGTAGTATGTTGGGTGAACCAAAAATTTCATAGTTGAATAACGACCGTGGAAGTACCAGACCTTGTATCTTTGTTTTTAAGTTGCAAAAATCTTATGTTGCATTTTAATTTTCTGCGGAAGGCCTGATTATTATTCATGCAAAAAGTTTTGTTCACTTTTCCTCCCATATTTCAATAATATTGTCTCAAAGTTCTGGGCAAAATGTGTCTAGCTGTTTTCTTTTCAAAGATGAAATATGAGCAGACATCTAGTTGTAATTTAGCAGTTGGATATTCTCTCACTAACTTATTGGCAGAACTCATGTACACCAGAGTCCCTTGCACACAAGCTCTCCATACAGGCCTGAGACGTTCAAATTGTATAAGCCAATCAAAGGCAAGTCGGTTCTACGTCCATACTTTTTTTTTCCTCTGTCATGGATCCGATATGTTAAGTGTTTCTTTGCACCAAAATGTTTGTAAAGATACAACTTTTTAATTCTGCATGTTGGTACACTGATCTATCAAAGGAACTCATACGGATTCCCATTGATTGATCAATAAGTTTCCTTGGATCACCATCTTATATGGCCAAAATTCATACTGTACCACAAAACATCCCTTTAACTCCTCATACCAATATCTCAGTTCGGAATTTTTCAGCACTGAGGCCCTCTTTCCTCTTTCGGTAAGAATTATGCACAACATTCGTATTCCTCTTATGGGTATTTATTTACTTAGTTTTATTCTCACAGTGTGGTAAAGAATAAAATAATGATGTTTTCTAAATTTTTTTCAGGAAGTAAATAAAGCTTTAGCAGACCAATCATATATCGCAGCAAATTATTTGACAGTAGCAGACCTATTTTTATTCTACGTTTTACATCCAATTGTGGTGAGTAGTTCTTTTATTTCTGTCCTATGTAAATATAAAAAATTTACCTATCCAGTGAATAAAAAATCATGTCATTCAAGTTCCTCAACATGTTGGCCTGGTCCGTTCATCTGCATCCCTTTTATTCTCGTGTCCTTTTTGAAAACAAGCCACAATTCCATATGTACGAAACCTGGAATAAAAAAGGGAGGTCTTATGGATTGGAGGAGGAAAACTCGTATTTTGTTCAATGCAATCAATTTGAGGAAAAAGAAAAAAAAAACACTTCTTCGGAGGGACTGTTCAATATTTTGAATTCAGAGGTCTATCCCTTGGACCGCATTTTGCAATTTGGAGCTATAAATCCTGATTCATCTAAAAAAACACGTATGTGCATAGGAAAACTAATGGCACATACGTTGTTTTTAAACCGGGCCAGAATTTATAGTTCCAAATTGCAAAATGCAGTCCATTTAATCCTCCCAGAAAACCCCTTCCATCAAAGGACTTGAAACTTCCACTCTCCTTTTATCAAGCTGAGATTCCCTGCTCTTGTCAAACTCTCCTCACCCAAGATTCTTGCCAGCAAAGCAGTGCTTTGCCCAAAAAATATAAAATGACGGGAAAAAGTAAAAATATTGGTCTTTCTTACATCCCAGTGGAGATCATAAAACTTTTCAAGCTTGTACGCTGTAAACTTGACAAAAGTAAAATTTTAAATGAAACGAATAGTGGAGGTATATGAGGACCTTTCTAAGTAAACAGCATGTGCCCATGTCAACGTCCCTGAGATTGTGCAACTTTTCTTTTTTTTACAACCATCCAAAATCCTCCACATTGTACATTCCTCTGTCGAAATATTAAGGACAGTAGAAAGATAATTTGAAGCAAATTTCAGGACAGAGATTACAGATCTCTCCCAACTGAACAGATGAATGTATGCACAATCTTAGCAACGTTGACGTAAGTATTTTGTAGTTTATTCGGAAAGGTCCTCACATCCATGCAGATAAAAAGTAACAAGAGTACTTACTATAGCTGATCCTACAGCGAAGATGAGCATTAAAGGTCTCATTGGGCACATCATTTTGTCAAATTTACAGATTACCGAAAAACCCCTTTAATTTTGAGCGAACAAAATCCCAGTAACTTGACAGAACTATGAAAGAAATAACTATTTCTTTCATGACAGAACTTTATCGCATCACTTGTTATTTTCTGTTGAACCATCTGTTTAAATAGTCTAATAGTCTCTTCTATTTAATTATTTATTGGATATGAGAGATTATTTCTTGATAAAAAGGTTACGTAATAGGTCTCTAAAAAGTAAAAGAATGAGAGTGAGCATTAGTTTTAAAGAAAACAACAATCAACCGTTTTTGTGATCTTTTGATGAATTGATTACTGAAAGCAGTACCGAACTGTCAACCCTATTCTCCATTACATATTCATCTCAAAATTACTGCTGATGTTTTGACTTTTGAAGAGTGACTCCTGGCCAAAGATGTGCTCTGCCTTTGTCACGATCTGGGAATTGTGAGATCAAGCATTTTTTCTGCTTTGCTAAGGAAAAACGTCGCATGAACATTCGTGAGTTGCCAAATTTCTTCGGATAAAACGTGTATTTTTGAAATAAGTTTGAACATTTTTCCTTGAAATTTTCAGATATTTTAGACAAAATTTTGAAAAAATTATCTGAAAAATTTGAAGAACAATATTTACAATTTTCCCAGAAAATTAGTTTTTTTTTAAAGAAAATATTGCAATGGCTAAAGCGGCGTCTTATACAGCGTTTTTCCTTAACACGGCAGTCCTACCAACACGGTTTGTCTGACTAAAAATAATTCCATTATGATTAGACTCGGTCATCTTGTACATATTTGTGGCAAAATAACCCTCATTTTTTATTGATCCATCGAGTTCGCTAATTAATGTGGGCTGCCAGCTTTTTTGAGCTTTGGTCTCATTACTTTCCCAACATTACCACATCTACTTTCACCTCCTCTGAATCATTTGTTGTCTTCTTTCCAGGCATCCATGACTTTTTACGAGAAGGAAAAATATATTAATTTATCTCGATGGTTCGATCATCTACAGCTGGAGCCGAACATTCGACAAACAAGGCCTTTAGTCACATTTAGCCGAACTCTTTTATACTCTTAAGATCAGGTAATGATGCTGTATTTCTGTGCAATAAATCTTCATGTCACCCATATTGACTGCATACTGCTCCTATGATAGATCAGATCTTCATACTCTACTAATAATATTTCATGAAATTTTCCCTCTCATGGTTTTTCCAATTAAGTAATTTTCATTATCCTGTATTTTACTTGTTGTCAATAAATATATGGCTGGAAAAGTGAGTTAACTTATTTAAAAAAAAAATCCTCAAGATTTAACACCAACTCAATGTGGATCTGTTCACTGAAAATTTTATCTGTGTGTACTTAGATCCCTTTAACCAACCATGGTTATATTTAATTGGACATTATTTTGCAATTAGGAACTACAATATCTGACGCCTCTGTAAAAGCACTTATCTCATATAGAAACTAAAGGCGTACTCGTTGTTTCTAAAGTGAGCTGGAAATTGTAGTTTCTAAATGCAAAATGTAATACAATTCTTAAGCTATAATTTAAGGGTATTAATTTTGTTTTTCATCTCATTAACTTGTCTTTTTTCACGGTTCAGGCTCTCTACGAAACTCCACGAGGTAATATCATGAATTCCATGCAGCTCGCTGTCAAATCAATTTTCTTCTGGAATCCTTCTCAAACATAATAGGAGTCACTATCGTGAGCTTTTCTTCCTTTGTGTAAAGTAATTTTAATGGTGGTTCCCTTCAAATTATTTTTAAGGATTTGATTATTTTCATTTTATTTATTTATGTACATATTCATATTTCAGTGACTAAAATAAATTTTTTCTTTAATATTTTTTTGCTGAATTGTGAATGTACCTCCAAATTTTTATTTTATTTTTGCGATGCTTCATAAGAAAAGGGACATAAGTGCAGAAAAACTCAAAATTGAGAATTTGTGTGCAGAAATGGCACTTCTTGGTTTCAGTGTTTCAGAATTACTTTTCACATTTTTTCTCTCAACAGGAAAAAAGGTTCTGGTAGAGAAACTGAAATTTGACTTGATACTCTTCATATTTGGGGAAAGAATATTTTCAGCAGAAATCCCAAGTTCAATGATCTAGTAGTTTCTTCATGAAAAAGAAATTATTGTTGGCGATTCTGAAACGGAGAGGTGTCCTTTTTGCACTCAAATCCTCAATTGAGGTATTGATACCGCTTCACAGAGAAGTATTTCATAAAGACTGCCACTGACAACTCCTGCATGTGACAAATTGAACCCAAGATATAATAGTTTGAAGTTCGCAGTTCAAAAACTGCCGTTTTGAGAGAGACTTTTTAGGGTTTTGATTTTTCACATTCAGAGCCAAAAATGTTATGATTGCGATGCCAAATGCTCTTCTTAGGGTCTAACTTAATCTTGCAAACTAACTTGATCACTAGGAAAGAAAAACAGTACATACTAAAAAGTAGTTGGAATAATTTGATGCAAACAAATGCAGGAAAATAACGAAAACAATAAGGCTGATACAGACCTCAAATTGCCTGGACATTTCACGGTGGTACCAACCCCCTCGTCAAACAGGAGTGAAAAAAGATTTTTTGAGGGCAGGATGTGTTAAAAAATATGGACAAATCAGATATATTTCAGAAAAATCAATTTATTATTTAACATATCACAGCCTTAAATTATAATAATCTATGCAAAATTAGTCTTCACAATCTTCCTTTTGAAGGAGTAGTACAATGATTCGGCAATAACGGAGCCCAATCATGATTCAGAACACAATATAACTGTTAAAGAGAGAGAAGTTCCCTCTGCCGACTTCTAAGAAAATTGCATTCGCTAATGCCTAAGTCAGGTATCTCACAAAATATTCGTTTCTGCTTTCCCTAGAAAAGCAATAAATTTATTTCTTAATGGTTGGCATAGGCCACTTAACAAGGTCTATACTAGACTCTTTATAATATATACTCTTTCAAATATTGCGTATAAAACGATGCATACAGCGGAAGCGTTAAAGTCAATTCTTGAACAAGATATTAGGGAATAATTTTTAACAAAGATTGAATGAAAGTCAAAGTATACAAACGATAACATTTGTATTTTTGCTATGTTAATTGTACACACTTATATCTTGTTTAGGAGTTGCTTTCCGCACTACCCTTAGTGTGGTTCGAATTCCTCGTGAAACTTTGAAGAGAGACTATGGGTGGTGCTTTAATTTAAAACTTGTCCAGCGACCTAATAAAGATTTCAAGGATGGTACTACGTTTCGCATGAAATTATGATGAGAAAACATGTATTAGTAGGAATCTCGGTTTGTATCCTAAACCATGTAATCAGTAAATGGTTAGAGTAAGTTGATTGTACCTGAGTGCTCCTTCTATTAAAAACGAAAAGGGGGACTTTTTAGAAGAAGTCGGATGCCTTTGGTCGCTTGGGCAAATTGAGTTTAAGTAGATCATCGGTGAGTGTATTGGCAGATTTGGAAGACTTAGAGGAGATCTTTACTGGAGCGCGGGGATTCTGCGTGGGTGTCTTAATGCGCAGAGGTTGACCTGGTGTAGAGTCTGGACGTGGCGACAAGAACGGCGTTGTGGACCTGGTGCTGCGGTTGCTGCGGTTTGATGCCGGGCTGTAAGAAGCTTGGAGGGCTTTGTCTGAACCTATACATGTTTTGAGGTGGCTTGATATGAAGCGTTGCGCTGCTGGTGACATTGTACTTAACCTCTCAACTGATAGACCACCGTGTTTCGGTGAGGGGCTGGAACAGAAAGGATAAAGGTTCAATGTGCAAGGATGGGGTATTCATTTCATTAGTTGAGTAGTTAGTAGGTTAGTTGTATTAGTTAGTAGAATGACTTTAAAAGACTAGGACCCAAAGATAACTTGAAGTACATAGTCTCAACTAATGTTTGGGGGTACATTGGTCAAGTAGAAATATATTTAAATAAGCTCATGACAAACAACCCTAGAACACCATTACATGAGAATAGAGTTGGGGTCGCATTCATTGTCATTCCTTAAATAACTCTCATCCTTAAGAGGCCTTATGTGGTTTACATTATGATTAAGCGAGCTTCAAAGAAGCCTTGAACATAATATTGCAGAATAGACAATTTTTGTGGACATCAAGTGAAATTCAGTATTATGATTCAGGAAATGGGTCTTCCAAAGGGATTACAATCATTTGCAATTGTAAGAAGTAGACAATACGAACAAAAAATTTCTATGATTTTGACAAATTTTAAGAAGTGTGAAGTTGTGAACATACCTTAAATTTTACTAAACTCAAAAAGTATTTTCTTTTGTATTCTGTACTTTTTGTAGCGGCAGATCATTGTAATTCCATTCAAGAAAGGAGCTGTTTAAGGAACAACAATGGATACGACTCTGAGAATTAATTAACATGAAAACAACTGTCATTCTGATTGGCGGGAGAGTTTCATTGCTCTTCATTTTACGACCTTCAGGGCAAAAAACGAATCTGCAATTATTTTCTGACTTTCCTTTTTTGAACTTCCAGCGAAAAATTGTTTACCTTTCCAAGGTTTCAAGAATGATAGTCATTTAGGACACCTATGAGGAGAGCTAACTTCAACAAGAGACTTTCACAGAAAAACACATGTTTTTATACAAGGACATCGCTCTCACATTCAAAAACCACTAAGAAAATTTTGAGCGACTTTTTAGCAGTCCTATTCTGTTGCAAGCACTTGACTTTCTCCGAGAATTTTCATCTCCACTCCAAGGGCATGCTCCGATTAAAGTAATTGTGATTCAGAAACTTACGATGCGAGCCTTTTGGCTGCTTCCATGGCTTTGCTTTTTTTGTTGCGATGTCTTTCACTTGCTTTTTCAGCCAGCGCTAAAGCCAACCTCTCTCTTTTAGGAGGCTCAGCGATTCGGAATGATGCTGTTCCTGCACCAGGCCGCAGAGGCGTGTCTCCGCCATCGAGCCGAATAGGTGTGCCTTCAATTTCTCCCCAGGTTATCAGTGGAGATTCGTCAACTCCTAAAAGAAAGTAAACTTCGGTTAAGAGGATACACAGTTTGAACAGAAAGTTTAGATAAAAAAATACTTTTGACAGCAGCAAGGACGCAAGGCTACTGGGAGTCCTTTAATTTTGCCCATTAGGTATATAACTTCAGATTTTTTGCTTCTTAACAGTAGAATTTGGCATGGAATTTTTTAGATAAAATAAGAGAATGCTAATGAAAAGAATGCAGTAAATTTAATCAAATCCAGAGATGCAGAAATTTCCTGATGACATGATTATGGCTACATGGTAACAAAACATGGGAGGGCTTAAAACTTTCTGGACCCCTGTTCAAACCTAACCTCTTCTTTCAAGCCGCAATTAATGACAATACATAATTGAAACCTACTTTTCAAACTGACAAGTTTTTCATTGCCAGGTTCAATTTTGGACATAATATACTTCTCAAACAGAGAATTTAAAAAAATTGAACCAGTGATGACTGAGTTATTAGATTAATGAGAGAATATGAGAGAAATGGGTCTTTATCACCCGTTGATACCGTAAATAAATAAATATAATCGTGACACTTGGTATAATCGTGAGAAAATTTTAAAAAGAGCACTTGAGGAAGAGCAACTGATCTGATCTCTGCGGAAGCTCTCTACTAATTTATGATTCCAAATCCTTATATTTTTATAGATATTGTTCACAACTCTAAAATCGTAAAAACTGGTATGATACTTGCAAAATGTGCATTTTCAAAATAAAATGGTGATCAAAGAGAAATGAGGGTCCTCCTGAAATGAATGAATTTCAGCCATTCAAATTTTAATACATCTTGTTTTATTAAAACAGTCTCAAAAAGCTTTCATCGATGGGAAATTACACATTTCCTCAGGGTGATCTCCCTTGTTTCCGATATACTACATACAAGGTTGAAAATTTAGGGTACGGTTACTAGAGGTTATGGGTGGCCTTTAAATCTTAAGCAGAATTCAAATCCTGGAAGGGAACTTGAAAAGTCAATGGCGATATATATCCATTCGTGGAAATCGCTTCTTTTTTATTCTATAGAGGAAATACTACTAAAAGTATTTGCTAGACATTCTCCTTGAATTTTCGTCTTGATTAAAAGAAAATCCAAAGACATTTTCAAGAAAAAGAAATTGTAAGTTTTTTTCAACAAGTCAAACACTGTGAGAGACATAATAATGTCATAGTAGATTTGACAGGTTTTGTTACAAGAGACTTTGAGGGGCAGTAAGGCTTGATTTCTTTAGAAGAGCTAGGAAAATATATGTTGGACATTAATGAATTCAATGAATGACAAGGTGAAAGATTGCAAAGTTTGAAATTTACCAGGTGCTGGTGAGGGAGTTTTCACAAATGAGAAGCCGTTGACTTTAGGCGTGGTTCCCAAGACCACTTCTTTACCGTCAACATCAATTTTTCCTTCCAAAGTTCGTGCTTGCATTTGAGCTACGTTGTGTAAGGTCTCTTTGTTTTGTTCTTCGTTGAATGGGCAGTGCTCAAGTCTTGTACTTGCATGATTGATGGATTGGCGCCTTTTGGACATTTCTAACCTTTCTTCTGGAGTTAGTGGAACACCTGCTCATTATAAAGTACACGATTAGTTTTCCAAAATTTTTAAGGTACATACAAAACTGGGTGACAAAAATTTTAGAACTGCAATCATCCACAAAGAAAGGGACACAATTTGTACAAAATTTCCTGGGAAAAATTCAAAATTTTTGACGGCCTATTCTCATAAAGTTGGGTCAGAAACTCTGCTTTGAGGATTTCGACAAAAAACTCTTTATAGTAGCCTAAGAATAAATTGCTAGTGGTTTAGTTCTTTTACTGCAATAGAAGATGTCAAATTCCATTTTTCTTTTACTATTTTGAGTCCCAAACATGGCAGATTAAACCCTTGGACTTGTTTTATCCCAGGTGTTTTTCATGAATTGCTCATTTCAAATAAGAGTCCGTCATGACTCCGTGTCAAAATATTCACAGAACATTCCTTTATATGCGGTGCGACTATATAAATTTTAAATTTTTTGTTATTGAGCTCTGTACCTAAAACTCAAAGGTGAGCTTCGAACACTGGCTTAGACCATCTACTTTCATAGAAAAAATGACTGAATCTAATAGCCGGATAGACAATCATCATGAAAGAAAAAAAGTAAATGCAATTTCCACTCAATCTTGGCGATTGGTTTGATTACTGGACGCTGATTTGAATCTTATTTTCCCATAAAATGAAAATATCTTTTGAACTTTCATGAATCTCTTTCCTTCATTTGAATCTCATTTATGAACAAAAATAGGGAGGGTTGTCCGTGTGAGAAGAAAATTCTGTAGAAAAAAATATGCAACAACTATACAATACCTCCAAATCAACTAAATTATTCACAGGGGGTAAAAACAAAGCTATAGGCTGTGTTAAATCCTGAGGAATGCTGAAACTTACCGTCAGGAACATACATGATGTAATTTTTGTCCTTGAAAGTCCAAGTGTCCAGATTGAGCGGCTTTGGGGCAGGATCTTTTTGTTCTTCAGTTGACGGCAGTGCCAAAAGTCTTTGTCTTTCTTCCTCTGGATTTTCTGCCTCTTTGTACAGCCAAGGATGCTGAAATCAACACATTTTGGTATTACTTAAGCAAAATATTCACTAAACTGGGACATTATTGCTTCAAAAGTTTTGACTTCGGTCTGTAACTTCATTTCTAAAATATTTCTTCAACTTTTAGGTAAGTACTTAGAACCAGTTCCTTTCCATGGAAGTAGGCATCTTGCTGAATGAGTTTTGGTTATTTTAACCTGAGAGCCAAGAAATTCCATCCGACTGGCTTGGATGAGTAAGGTCCGGGTACCTTAGGGTGCGGCTTATTTTTGTCATGTAAGAAAATCGCCGAGGTCCGGGTGGCAATCGATGCTATCTATGAAAATAATAGGCTGTAAAAAATTTGAGCCAATTTGAAGCTTTTTTAGCTGATGCTCAAAGGGATCAAAACTACGGGCAAAATTACATTTGTTTAAATGGGCGGAAAAACGCCTGATCTGCGCAAATGCGTTTTTTGGATCTAAAATACGCTTAAATGAGGAAAACCGGACCAACTCTTAGAGAGGCATCTAAGGGCCCATTCGAAACGAGAAAATCACACTGAGGGTAGGGGGATCACTCGAGTGCAAGATAAAATATATACATCAATTTCGTTCCAGGCTCTAGAAATAGTATGTGAGGCAACATTATAAGGGGCCAAGTATAGTTCTCAAGGGCTAAAACAACTATTATACATTATTTCTCATCAAGTTGTGAGATAAATTTGCCTCTTCAACTTCGGAACACTTATTTTGAGTTCGATCAGAAGCGAATTCTTAGCTCCGGGCGCGGCGCCTCAAAACCGGCTACGCCGTGACCCCCCTGTCCCCACCCGTGGGTCCAAAGTGTGATTTTCTCGTTTCGAATGGGCCCTTAAATGCCTCTCTAAGAGTTGGTCCAGTTTCCTTAATTTAAACGCATTTTAGATCCAAAAAACGCATTTACGCAGATCAGGCGTTTTTCCGCCCATTTAAACCAATGTAATTTTGCCCGTAGTTTTGATCCCTTTGAGCATCAGCTAAAAAGGCTTCAAATTGGCTCAAATTTTTTACAGCCTACTATTTTCATAGATAGCATCGATTGCCACCCGGACCTCGTCGATTTTCCGACATGACGAAAATAAGCCGCACCCTGGGGTACCTACTAAAGGTTCTATTGTAACTATCTCTTGTATTGTTCTGTTTGTTCACCTCCATGTATTAGAGGTTGAAAATGAAATGAAAAGAAAAATAGACAAGTTTCTATTCTTTGAACCCTCCTTGGAATGCTTGCACCATAGACCTTGACTAACATCTCCGGTTGCCGAATATGAACTGATGGATTAAAATAAATTCAAACATTTTAAATGACATTTACGTACCTTTAATCGGTGTCTGATTTCAGCTTTCTTCATAATTTCGGTGAAACTTTCATTGTCCTCACTGGTATGGGCGCTTAGAAACTGGTCTAAACTTAGATTTTTATCTATAAAAATTAATAAGAGAGAACTTAATTCCGAGATCACTAAAAAATAAGCTATGAAAATAGGGTAAGAAGTGAGAGGTCAACTTCCCTTACTTCCCAAAGAAAGTGGGACTTCAATAATTACTTGATGTAGTCCTCTAAGTTAGAGAATATTATGGACAATAAATCTGTAAAACTGTATGTCTCAGTTGCAGTTTTTCGAAATCTCCACTTCTATTAAATTTGTTAAAAGGAGATTGAAGCAACAGCCTGGCTTGAAATGTTTACAGAATATTCTTCTGATGGAGAGGGATTTTATCTAACTTTTAAAGAGATGACGATGAGTGGTTTTCCATGAAGGAAATGAAAGACGACAGGAAGTCTACTTGCAAGATTTCCTGAATAACTTGGTTTCCCGGACCGAAGGAAACAGTGTACCAATTCATCCATCATTTTCATGTTAAGGATTTTAATAAAGAAAAAGGTCGCAAACCTTTATTGCTATTTTTGTCCAGTTTGTTAAAAGCTGTTTCTTCACTTGGATCCTTGAGCTCAAACTGTTCATCACTGGTTCTTGAACTTGCAACCGGAGTCTCAAAGGTTGCGGGGCTTGAATCTGAAAATACAAAAAAATCAGAATTCAAATCCTTTCAGTTTTTATCTTCATTCATGCATTAGTATTACAAAGTTTTCCCTAGTCCCCTGCACAGAGATATTTTGATTTGATTTTTTTGACCACTATATCTTTGGTAGGTACAGTACAGCAAGATTTGGCAACAATTTGGCAATAATTATCATCACAAAAAAGCTATTACCTATTTTGAAAATTTTTAAAGAGTATTCTCTCAACACTACCTTCCCTTTTATCAGGTGTTGCGTATGGATATGGTTAAAACACATGGCAATCATTGACACTTGAGTAATAACTTTTTCTCTCAACAGGTTATTTCAGTGGATATCACAGATACATTCCAGGAGATGAAACGATCAACCTAAACAGTATTTCAAGAAAAAAACCAACACAAGTACTTACGTCTATCCGTGGGCGGCTTTGATCCTGAACTATATTTGGCGTAAACTTCCTGAAGTTTACGTACATCATTGTGAAGTACAGCATCGAGATATGCATTTTGAGCTTTTAATTTCTCCAAATCCGGAAAGAAATCTCTCTGGATGATTTTCCCCATTCGCTGTAAGACAAGACAGTGAGAAAAATTAAAGAATCTGATTACAAAATTAAGTCATTTTCCATAAACACTAGGATGCTGACTATGGACTGTTTGAAACAATGATATTCACAAGAGTTATCATTCCGTGTGGAATATCGGCACGAGAAGTGTCTGAACCAATTGATGTCAAAACCTAACACATTAAAAACATCATGCAAGTCAACAGTTAGTCCAATACTTGTTTGAATTACTCAATGCCAAATGGTCAGTGTTGCTTTTCTATACTTAAAATGGAGCGGTGCCGAGGCCGACCATTTGGCATTGATGTAATTCGATTCCCGAACTGCCCCAAGTGGTTTACTTTGGATGCACACACTGGAAGAGACCAAAGATGCATTGTCACAGCAAGTTGCTTCGAACCTCTTGGAAACAGAATTACTTAGCCAATACCAAACGGTCAGCATTCCTAGATTCTGTTCGAATAATCCAGTGAATTGAAAGTTTAAAGATGGATGCCAAATGTTTCGACCAAGTGCTCAACAAACTTGTGGGGTCAATGGGACTACCAAGTTGTCTTTTGTTTGTAAGAAAAAACCAAACAGTATCAAACATATTTATTTCAACAGCGCAACTTAAAACTTTTAGAGCTTGCTCATTGTATGTTGAGACAAACATCAATCTCCAATTAGTTCTGAATTTGCACCACTCAACAGGTCACACACACACACACACACACATGTAGTTGTTTGGTGGTACCACTGGTGAATGGTGACGTAATTGATACTTTGACGTTTATCTCAACATACGATGCGCGAGCTCTACTATTTATGGGTATTGGAAAGAAGCATTCAATGAAGGTCATATCCATGACTATTATCCATTTTTACATCCACTTGAGCGATCTGTCAATGTACTGAATTTCATAAGAAATCAACTTGCCCACACAGAGATCTGCTACTTATAGCGGACAGTAAAGTGATTATCGAAGATTTACAAGGTCGCTTTGGTTCCTTTGCATTTTAAGAGAGTTACACAGCAAAACTTACCTCTAAATACTCATCTTCTTCTAGAACTTTTTTACCATGCTTTGGTACCTTCTTAGGAGGAACTAAAGGCTCCTTAAATATTAATTTGTCATCCAGCTTAGGAGTGCTAACGGTGGAGCAGCTTGGCTCCTCGGAAGAGTCTGAGGACATATTGCTGGGGTGTATTCCAAAGAAAATGCAATGTCAGAACACTGAATATGGTATTAAAAACTACTGTCCATATTAGTTCATGGAAGAAAAAGTTTGGTGAGTTAGAATATTGATGATATTTTATGAATGAATGCGAAGACAGTACCAGGACGGAGAGGGTTTCAGTTCAATTTGGGCTTTGGTGGAAGCAAGCAAATAGATGGGTCCTTTGTCACGGTTGAGGAAGTGCTTATATTATCAAGGAAGAAATTTAGTTAGGAAAAAATGTAAGAATCACCAACGGAAATCAAGATAGAATTAAATTTATAACAATTACGTTTTCTCACGACACAATGAGATGGAATAATCACAACAGATGTCAACATAACCTAAAAAACCTGACAACCAATCAAAAACGTTCAGTGATAAAAAAAAAGTGATAATAGTTGTGTTTACAGTTCACTGTCAAGTCAAAGCTTTCGTGAAATTCTTGTGGAAAGGAAAACTTGTTGAACTTTCGAAACTTAAATTGTCCAATTACTCTCGAGCAGGAACTTATTCTTTTAAAAATGCTCTACGCTGATTAAAAATTGTGCTGTATTATGTGATACTTTATACATAGCCAAACGAATGATATCGTCGGCCATATTACATTCTCATCCATTCATTTGTTTCTTTATGGGACACTCATCATCAATTAGTGTTAATTATTGAAACATATCGTGCGATGTCTATCCAGAACTTATTCCACAGATTTTTCTTCATTTTCACTTAACTATGGACTTTTCCTCGGAGTGAGTACCTTGTCAGTCATGGCATGCTGGATGCCCCAACTGTGTCGCATATGATAAGTATTAATTTCTGCTCTTAAAACTTAATTCTCAATTCTGTTGTTTGCTTTCTGGGAGTTCAGAAAAACTAATGAACTCTAAACAGCCGAAAATGCCTGCCTTGAAGGATGCCAACATCGTCAAAATCGCGGTTGAAATGGACGACCAAGTCCCTCAACTGATCGAATTCAATCAGAAACAACCTCTGGCTGCAACAATTTTGGAGTTGTGTAATGCTTGGGATCTTCCAGATGCGAGTTTGTATGCTCTTCAGTTTTCGGAAAATAATTATCAAAATTATATAACGGAGAAAAATCGGAACGAAATCAAGAACGGCTCAGTTCTCAAATTGACTTTCTCTCCATCCAAGACAGCGCATGATATTCTCCACAAGCTCAACACGGGGACCAATGAAGAGAAAGTTCAAGCTTTGCAGAAATTATCAAAACTGAGCATTGATACTACCTTTGCTCACGAATTCATATCGAAACAAGGTTTACAGTTGATCGTCAGCATGATCGAAGGCGGCAAGTGCAAAGGCGCAGTTCTTGCGTATTCTCTAGTCTCTTTTGTCGAGTTAATGTACCATGGGATAGTATTTTGGGACATTTTAGAGTGCCCTTTCATTCAGACTGTGGCCAGTTACGTTAACAACCAGTCAGCGGATGCTCAAGATCATAAAATTGTTCAAGCCTCTTTGTCCATCCTGGAAAGCATAGTTTTGAACGGCAATGCAAAGAAATATGAGCTAGTTGAAAAGGAAGTTACTTTCCCTAATTTAGTAGCTCACCTACACAATTCAAATCCAGTTGTTCAGCAGAATGCAATGGCTTTGATTAATGCCCTGTTCCTGAAAGCGGATTTGGCCAAGCGGAGAGCAGTTTCAGCGACACTGTGCTCAAAACAAGTTCGGAATATCATTCTCAGCAACATTATCCAGCCCTCAACTGAACAGGTAAGCAATATGTATCAATTTCCTCCTCCTCTCATATTTTCAACTGAATTCTCTACGCTAATTGAAGAGAGGCACATAACTTGTAATGAAGCATAGTTCAAACACGAGCTGTTACACTGATTGTCAAAGTGGGAAACCCTGTATCTTTGTTTGCAATATTGCAGACTTCCTGTTGTACTCAAACTTTTTTTTTTTTTTGGAAAACAAGCCAACGTAATCTCTCGAAAATTTCCGGAATTTTTCACCTCTGTTAGCAGCAACTATTAGAAGAACAAAAACTCTTTTGCTTTGTACGAAAGGTGCCAATTGAACACATTGTAAAAGTTTAACGGAATTTCAAATTGAGCTCCTCCAAAGAATTAGCTTCAGCATGTAGAAAGAAGGCTCAGAGCTCTTTTGGTCATTGCGACTCATAGATTTTTTTCTCCTTTCAGATTGGCGCTGAGATGGCACATCAGTTATATGTATTACAAACGCTTTCATTGAGTCTACTAGAACAAAGAATGAACTCAAAAATGGACCCTCAGGATCAAGATGCTCATGAAAAAATTAAGGTATTATTTTTATTTTTATGGGTAATTTTGGAACCATCTGTCTTCCTTTCCATTGCTGCTGAAAGACCGCATTTCCATCATACTGATGGAGCATTTCTTTTGAAGTCATTAATTTTTAAACTTTTCCAAGATTTTTCTTTGGAACATCTTTGTTCTACAAACATGGTTATTGAAGTAAATCAAACTCTACAAGACTTCATTCAAGAGTTCATAGAACGCACTCACAAATGTTTAAAGTTTCAGTGTTGTTCAGTTTTCTATGTAGAAAACAAAAATCGGAGATAATTATATATCTCATATAGAAAGGCTGATTCAGGTTGAATATGTATAAATGACAAAAGACTAACTAGTAAAGAAAAGTGCAGTCATAACCGGATGTTTTTATACTAAAGAGAACCATGTTGCATGCAAGCCTATAGTCCACGCCACGAAAAGTGGCGGCTGAGGGGCGGAGCCAGTCGGCCGGTCCAGTCTATTGTTGAAGGGTTGAAGCGCAGATATTGGCCCGTGGTTGAGCGACGACCGGCCGGGGTGAGTTCACACTGAACCTTGAACCCGGCGCCCGGGATTTTCGGGAGACACACTAATTGGGGAGAATACGCGGCGCGATGCGTCGCGCTGGATGCCACCCCGGGCGCCGAGATCAAGGTGCGCTCAGTGTGTACTCACCCTGGCCGGCCGTCGCTCGACGCGTGTCTGGGATAATGACTGGGCCTATACCTGCGCTTCAACCCCTCAACAATAGGACTGGACCGGCCGACTGGCTCCGCCCCTCAGCCGCCACTTTTCGTGGCGTGGACTATAGTTCCTTTTAGTATAAATCTATCCAATTAAGAAGCTTGAAGTTGGGATTTTTTTTTTCTATCTTTCTATTTCCGAAAATATAAGTAACATATCAAAACACCATCACTTTAGTTATTTAGAAATGTTGTCATGTTTCTCCAGAATTCCCCTCATTGCAGTATGAGCTCTGCTGAAGCGCACTGTGTCATGAGATGTCCCTTGCATCTATGATAACTGGTTCCAAATGCATAATCTCAAATACTGGAATTCGTGTTTTCACAGGAGCTGAGAAAAATTGCGTTTGAAACGGACAGTAATGCAGGCAATGACTCTGCTGTTCGAAGACAACTGGGAGTTTTTGCCAAAGATTACAAAAAACTAGGGTTTAAGTGTGATATCAATCCAGCGCAAGATTTTATGGAAACGCCCCCAGGCATGCTGGCTCTTGACTGCATGGTGTACTTTGCGCGCACCCACACAGAAAGTTACACAAAGGTGAGCCTATCTTTTGATTTTTTATTTTTTGTATCACCATTTTAAAGCAGTTCAAATCATATAATTTTGTACAACCACACCACTATAAACTGGAAAATACTTTAAACCGTTTTTTGGTTAAGGATTCATTCAGCTCGAAGCATCTTTTATGAATATATTTTTGAGGAATACTCAACAAGTGACTGTAATATGAAATATCAACAGATTTCTTTGGAGGCACAAAATGTTGGTAAACCATCCCTATTACGTTTTATTATATGGTAGGAGTCCACACAGCACGTCCGCTAAAAATACTGAATCTCTATCGATTTTTGATAAAATCTACTCAACGAAGATTCAATTAATGGGTAAAGAATTGATCTAAAAACTCCTAAAACTGCAACTTGCTTGCCTTTTTTTTCCTTCTTTTCTTTTTGAATTGGTGGATCAATTCAAAACTTTTAGGACAGCGTTTGCACATTCATCTACATTTCAATTCCATTTTATTAAAAGAGACTTATTGTTTTCTTACCTAAATACTAAATTAGGTCCTCTCATTAGGTTAATTGGCAGAAATTTACATAATTCGATCGGGGAATTCTATCAGCTGAAACAACTTCATCTTTTTAAAAAATGTGGATTTGTGACTTCTCTGTATGTAGACTTGGGAAAGTGGCCTTCCTGTTAGTGTGGATAGATTTAAATAACAAGCACTTGTTTTTGAGCAGTATATGCTGAAACCAATACTATGTGAGACAGTTAAATGCTATTCTTGCTTTCTTTACTCGTTGGCTGGTGTGATTTTGCATTTAAAGTGAAAATCTTAGGTGATGAGTTAAACTATAATGCATTTTATTTATTTTTAATAAGGAAAAAAACACCAAAAATTCAACCAGAACTGTAAGTAGGTAAAACTAGGTGGTAGTTCAGCATTTGAGCTATTTTTAGCTCCTGAATGAACATTTATCTGAGCGAAATTGTTATCATGTCACACAGTGGCATGGCGTGCTTTGCGATGTATCGTTCAATCTGCTATTTGAACAAATGGAAAAGGATCGATATTAAGGGTGTTTGCGGCGAATACCTTAATAATCGATTCTTTACCATAGTTACAAACGGGAAAATATGGATAATGGATCATTCACGCCTCGCCACTGACGTCACAAAATACAGAATTTTAATAATTTTAACTTTTAAGTATAGAAGCAGCATTTGAAGAGGAAGAAACAAGAAGATTTTGTAGACTTGATAAGTTATTTTTCCTAAAATATTGAGAACTCGTGAGCTTTTCGCCCTCAATGTACAAAATTTTGTGAACTATCAAAATTTGACTACCTGCAAGGCATTTGACAGAATGCCTGATTTGACTAATTGCCTGCGACATACGAACTATTGTCTTAATTTTTCATGTCAGACAATACTGTGCTTCTAACATATTTTTAAACATAAAGGTAGTGTAGGTATCTTTAATTTTAATAAGCAAAAGAATGAAAATATTGTAGACATGATGATGGCTGTGCAAGCTGAAAAGTATTTTCCAGCATGAAATAGAAATAATAACAACCAAAAATGAAGGTATCATGGCTACAATATTTTCATTCTTCTGGTTCTAATATATTGGTCACAATTACCTACTCAAAATTTTCATGCTGTTTTTTATTTTGTGGTTGTAGGTTGTCCTAGAAAACTCGTGCCGAGCAGATGAGCATGAATGTCCTTTTGGACGAACTTCAGTTGAACTGGTCAGATTGCTTTGCGAGATCCTTCGAATCGGAGAACAGCCTTCGGAACAAGCCACAACGTTCCACCCTATGTTCTTCACTCATGACCATCCTTTCTACGAGTTTTACTGTATATGCATTGTGCTTCTGAATAAAACATGGAAAGAGATGCGTGCTACTATAGAAGATTTTGTAAAGGTAAGGCCTTTCTTTTGACTTTGTTTAATGAGCTTTACTTTTTACTGTCTTCAAAAGAAATTATGTATCTGTTGAATTGGTCTCCCATAGACTTTACCTGGAGTGAAATCATCCGTTGTTTCATGAAAAAAGTTGCCCTAAAATCCAATGAGTACCAAGAAAGAAATTCATGCATTATTTTGCGTTTATCTCAAGTTTTTCTTTTAGAACTAACAGAGCAGGAAGATTGATTTTTCCTTCATCTTTTCAATAAACTTTCTCTGCATGAAAGTAAAATAATTAAACTAAAGAACTCAAACAACCACTTATCGAAAATAAAATGAGGAACGATGTATTCATTCCAAGAGTGTCAGGCTCCCATTTATTCGAATTTTTTTATTCTCTCTTTCCATCATGAAATATCAGAGCTGTGTGAATTTTTTCACGGCTCGAAAGGAGATGTTTTTCATACTACAATATGATGATTTTTGCTGGGGTTGATTTTAAATAAACCTGCCTCGAGCCCTGAGCACTATATTGATGGTTAAGCTGCAGAAATGTGTATTTCGGTTTGTAGCGTTGCAGACTTTCTGTCATAATTCATTTTTTTACATTAAAAACTACTATTTGCCGTTTCTGGAAAAAATCGGTAATTCCTCTTCTCTGGGTAAAAAATACTCTGTAAAACTTTCTAGCCATCATGTTGGTTTGGTCTGTTTTTAAGAAATAAAATAGTATGTAGCTGTGATATTGAAACGCTGCATCTGAGATTTGCATCTTTGCAGTTTCATTGTTGATACAGCTGAATGAAACTTTTGCTCATTAGTAAAGTCCTAAAATTGATGGGAGTGGTTTAATTATCTGCGAAAGCTTTCAGGTACAACCATAAAATCAGGAAAGCTACGTGTTTTGTGTCTGTTGTGAAGTTTCTCAGTTTATTTTGCAGCTAATTTTTTTCTGACCACTTGACAAAGGAGTCAATGTGCCATAAATTTTGGAACAATTTTAATCTTTCACTCTCAGGAAGACTTGAAAGATATCAGGATAATTTGAGGGTAATAATGGTAATAGCCTCTGTATCATTGTACCTCCTAGAAAAAACCTTGAGATATTTATTCGAGTGTTATCTCAATGAAGTAATTAGCAATTTTTATCACGCTCTCTCAATTACTGCAGTTTCTTCTGATTAATCTTGAATGCAGATAATTTTATAAAGGAGTTTTAAACACACTTCACCCACCTTCCCAATGTTCGGTTTTATCTGCAGACACTATTTTCCCCCATAATTACAGAGCATACCTTCCAGCGAGTAATTCTGGAAACTAGTATAAGTCTCCTACAAAAAATTTCCTGTGTTTTAGTGTCCTTTTTTCCCTTGCCTGTCGTTCATTGCGAGAGATTTCTCCTTAATATTTTTTCAAAATGATCAATTGGAAGAGTATGCCTACTGATTTGAACTTCAAGAAAATGAAAGTAAGACCTATTTTATCATCAAATTTTTTCTAATATGTAGTAAAATAATGCAAGCACTGTTTGAGTGTTCCATACCAGGAGTACATTTTCAAAAAGTAAAGTACACCATCGAGATTTCTCATGGGGTAAAATACAAACCTGGCACAACCTTCTTTATTTAGTTATTCCTTATTTATTTTGTACATATTAATTAATTTATTGTTATCAATTTCTTGGTTTTTTTCTTGTTTTGTCCTAAGAGTTTTTCAGAAAGGACTCACGAGTCGCTGAAAATTCACCTCTAAATTTGACAATTTTTACTCTTTTTTTTTATTTTTTTTTTAAAAAAAAATTATGAATGGTAATCAACTTTTTGGCATCTACGTTAATATTTATTTTTTTATATTTTTTTTCTTTATTAATTAGTTTAATTCATATAAAAAGACTAGGGGGCTACGCCCCCTGGCCGCTACGCGGCCCAACCCCCTGAAGGCGCTCCGCGCCATCAATGGGCCGCTTCGCGGCCCTATTTTTACCCTCCTATCAGTGTTAGTTTCATTTTTACCCTAAAAAATTACGATATAAGGTATACTTTAATTTTAAACTTTACTTAAAATTACTTTGAAATTAAAAGGACGCGTTTTGGAATGACTGCTTGATGAAATATTGCAGTAAAACAATGAACAGTAGTAAAGTCAAGTAATAATTTAGATTACATAAGTCGGGGACCGAACCCACACCGCGTTCACAGAGGACACATTCGACGTCTTAGACGACTCAGCCACCTCTCGACTTGAAGTCGCATGAGCGAATCTTGTGTAGATAAGTGTAGAGTTGATGCGCAGGCTACACAGCTACTGCGCAACCTCCTCGACCACTGCGCATCCTCCCGCGCATAGCGGTAGCAGTACCGGAGCATTCTGGAAACTCAGTCACTTTTATAACGTGATTTTAAAAAAACCTGGGTCCTTTTTCCAAAATCTGATTAAAGCGGGCTCATCTAGGGCCAATTACCTGTCGATTTACGCAAAAACCATGGAAATCGGCCCGGTAGAACGCTCAAACAAACTATGACAAAAAGTATAAATTTACATTGTTTAAATGGGAGAATTCGCAACTTTACCACGTAATATAAAAAAACCTGGTTCATATTTTGAAAATCTGAAAAGAGTTGGCTAATCTAGAGACAATTGCCCGTCGATAGCCGCAAAAATCATGAAAATTGGCCCGGTAAAAGGCTGGAACTAAGCGTCACCAGTTACGCAAAATTAGGAGGTCTTGGAGCTTATAGTATAGATATACGGGGCCACAAGGGCCCCAAGACATACCTTAATGACACCAATACTACTTAACTAAAATTTGGGTCTGGATCTTATTACAATTTAATTTAACAAAAAAACAAAAACAATAAATTGAATAGAATGGAATAGAATTAAAAATTGAAATTCAGCAAAAAATGCCATTAAAAAAAAAAAAAACCCCCCGTGAATGTACTACATAATATTGTTTCAAGGTGTGAAGTTTTTCCTCCGTGATTCTGATTTTTAAGACCTTAGACTGTAAATAGACTCCTCGTGCTTTTCAAAGAGATTCTGAACAGATTCTCTCCTATGATTCTCAATTTTTTTCCAAGATTACTGTTTTGATAGTTTCTTATTTATTACCCATTTTTGAATTGCAGGTGTTCAGTGTAGTTAGAGAGCAAATCACGCGAGCTTTAGCATGCCAGCCTACCAGCATGGAGAAATTCAAAGCCAAACTACAGTTATTGACTTACTCAGAAATCACAAATCTTTGGCAGCAGGAGAGAACAACGCGCGAGGAATGGGAAAGCCACGCTCAGCCGATAGTAGAGCTTAAAGAAATAATCATGCCTGAAATCCTGGATCTTATCCAGAGAAACAGGATAGGTTATTTAGTCGAGGGAACTAGGTTTACTAAATATTCCCCCCGCGGACAGGTAAGCTCATATCTTGTCTAATCTTGTCAAAAATGACTATTTTCGGACTTTACTCGGACTGCAAAGATTTCACCCTCTTCATCGGTTCAAAATGGCTTAAAGAAAATCCTTCAAAAATTTCTGTTCATTTAAAGAAACTCTTGATGGTGGGCATCACCCTTAAAATTTTGGAGAAATAGTAAAGTTATCAGTAATTATTTTGGAAAATTTCTCTCCACACAAACTGAAAATGCCACAATTATTTTATTGCTATGTTTTCAAGACAAAAAATGTGCCCAGGATTGAGGAATGGTCACATTTCAATCATAAAGTTGGAGAAATCAATAGTTACAAAGAGGTAATTCTTGACGCCGTGCAAAGAAATGTGTATGAAATTCATATATTGTGTGTACAAAAAAATACCTACCCTGCTTTCAGAATTGATTTTTTGTTAAAAATTCCTGTATTTCAGTAACAATCTAAACCAAGAACTAAAATTTTTACATATGGTGAGACGGATTCAAATAAAAAATCAGGGTTATCACAGTTCATGAATGTGAACTAAAACCAAACCTAAATTCCTCAGTCTATACCAAAAATCATTCTTGTCAACAGCTCTCGTTCCATACATTTAGCGTGTCATTCACAGAGAGTAACGGAAGAATAAAAAAGAGAATAATCAAATCCAAGTCAAGTGAATATTCAAAATTTTGTTTTTCATCTTTTAATTTGCACTCATCTTGTTTGTACAGCGTGTCAAAGATAAGTTTTGGTACGTGTGCCTGTCACCTAATCACAAGGTGTTCCATTATGGTGACTGTGATGAGAAAAGTGTTCCAACGATAGAAGAATTACCCAACAAACTAGATGTGGTTGATATCAAGGCCCTTATAACTGGGAAGGATTGCCCTCACATGAGGGATAAGTAAGTTCCTATTCTTACCGCTCGATCATAGAAAACTGAATTTAGAAAAATTGAACTTTGCATTTAAGGTCAAGCTACTCTATTTTCAAATTTGAATACATTTATACAGGGCAAGAAACCTCTTGATTTTGCGCAAATACTATGAACCCCTAAGATGTTGCCAGTTTGCCCAGTTGGTATAAAATAAAACGTGGCAAAATGGCAGATGATTGGGAGGAAAGAATAGAGGAGTTTGTCATCAACTTGACTTCAAGAGAAGTCACCAAAATATGTCTTCAAAATGGGAAGGCTGAGGAATGTGTATATCTCTAGATTTCTAATTCTAAAAATCTTCCGAAGAGAGTATTGCTCTCTGATTGTAGTTAAGCGCCTGCATGTGTCAGAGACGTTCAATTTAAGTACTTTTTCTGACGTAAAATTTTACGGGAATGGAGATCCCCTCCATTAAAGCCTGAACTTTCAGAGCTTTTTCCGAGCTTGAGAGTTTTTTCCAGAGAAAACCAGTGGCACTATCACCTTCCTCACAAAATTTTATGTTGAAAAATAGTACTTAGTTCGAAAATTCTTGACTCATGCAAGAGATCCATCACCTGTTTAGTCACATGGATTCACATTTTACATGGTGATCTCATGTGTGTTCAAATTTTTGTGGATGGTGCTCCTGGACTTGTCTCCTTCGAAATGATCTTGGCCAATTGTGATATATTTCACTGCTTCTATTACAAAAAACTCTCCTTCAACTCTATGAGTTGGATTGTGCTCAAGTTCCTCAAAAAATGTGTCTTTATTTTTGACCTTTATCAAGTAGCTGACTCTTTTCATTAATTTGAGTCTGAGAAGGAAGAAAATATCGGCAGGTGCTAAATCTGCATATTTATTTTGTTTATTTATCTAAGTAGTGTGTCAAACCTTTTCCTCACATCATCATTTGTGGTCACACTTGTTAATACATTTATGTTAGCAATTGTTTTGTGGTATGTTAATTGACTTACGATTACTTCAGTTCACAAACGCATTTACTCTTCTAGTGAGTAGAAAACTTGTTTTTGAAGAAATATTTTGAAGGGACCAAATAGTTCATTGTCATCTCTGTGTCCTCCATATCGATTGTGCAACCTCAGAAATGCATATTCCTGTCAGCAGCATCGTAAACTTCCTGTCATACTTTATCGTTTATATGAAAAACCCCTCATTCAAAACATCATTTTTTGAAAACCTCAGTAATTTTCCTCTTTGTGTGAAAAATATTTTACGAAAATTTCAAGCCATGATTTTAATCAGTTCTCTTTTTAAAAAATAAATCAGGAGCAGGGATTTTGAATTAGTGCAACAGAGATACCTATTTTTGCAGTTACACCATCGATTTGCTTCAAAACAAGGTCTCCTCGAATTTAACGTTCTTCTCTAATTATTAAAGAAATAAACTGGCGTGAGCCTACACAATCAAAATTTTTGAGGAGCATACAAAAGAGAAAGGGAATAATGGAAATGGTTCTATGCGCAGTAAATTACGAGATTAGAAGATATTAAGGCCTAACCTTCAACAAACTAAGAAATTACAGTGTAAATAATGTTGAAAAGAATCTGAAAAATTAATAGGAGCTTAGTTCACTCGGTACTTTTAGAAAATGGATTTTAAATAAGGGTACCTCTGACCCATTCTGTTACTATTATAATATAATCAGGTTTTTTGACTAAAAATATGATTTTGAAGGTTGACACCTCTGATTATTGAAACTATTATTTCCAATTTACAGAGGGCGCAAAACTACACCGCAACTTGCTTTTTCTTTATCTCTGGATTCGGTCGAAATGACAACTCTAGACTTTGTTGCTCCTGACGACCAAGTATATGGATATTGGACTGATGGCATAAATGCTCTTTTAGGTAATTGTTTCTCTTTGTGTTTTTTTATGCTGAGCGTCTTGTAGCTGTATGGCCACATACGAAAGATCTCATCACAAGCATAGAATTAAATTGACGTATGCTCCAAGGATCTTTACTTGTCCGTCTATTTCTAATTTTAAATCTTGTGAGAAACATGAGGATGCCATAGATTATTAGTGGATTCAAATTCTAAACTGATAATAAGCTCCTTAAAGAAGTTAATTTCGTCCGCAAAATTGACTCATACTTTTTCCATACATACAGCGACATGAGATTCCTGATATTGCACAAATGTCATACTTGAAATTGCAAACACAACAAAACGTAAACTTTAAAAAAATGTTTAAAACAAGCCTAAAATATTGAAACACCATAAAGAGAGGCCATTTCAAGCTTTCGCAGGTTTTCAGTTGAGAGGTTCGGTGGAAAAATCAGAATTTGAGTTTTTTTATGAACTGCTTTCTTGCATCCTGTAACTTTGTACATGGCAGCTCCATACTTAAATTTTTCTCAAATGATGTGTGTTTAACTGCAAACCTCAGGTATATTTATGCTAAAATGTTAGTAAAACTTTCATCCAAGCAGTAGTGCTGGTGTCTCTATTTCAGATTTATTGGAAATGAAATTTTTTTTCTTGCAGATTATTCATTTATCATTTGCACACTGAAAACTGTACCAGAATTTTCTCTAGACAAGTAGATAATGTGTTTAAAAAAACTTCTTTCCAACTTAAATTTAAATTTTTGATCTTGAACTCAGGATCATCTAATGTTGGACTCTTATTTCCAACATCTTAAAAGGACGCCAAAAAAGCTGGCATTGACTATAACATAGTTACTTTGAAGCAAAAATATTTTATTATTTTACTTACATTGTTTCTTGTTGATTTTCACAAATAAAAAACGATATTCTTGAAACCTGCATGTTGCCTCTCAGGGTAAAACCAATAAAAAAGTCAGACTCTCTTAATATTTGTAGCTGAATGAAAGCGACACATCCAAAGATTCCAAGAGTCCAATACAGTAAAAATCTGCTCACTGGTTCTTCAAAAAATCCCATTTTTTTCCTGATTCAGTTTTCTCAAAATTTTATCTCAGCACGAAAATTAGGATTTCGTGTTCTTTACAGCTGGATTATTATTGCAGTTCGTGTCAACTTGTAGACTTTAACTGATGACTTATTTTACATTGCATTGTTGTTAATATGTGTGTTATTTTTGCAGGTAATAAAATGACGAGTAAAGAAACGGAAAATGACTTGGACACATTATTATCCATGGAAATAAAGCTACGTTTACTAGATGCGGAGGGGATTATTATTCCTCAAGAGCCTCCGCCCGTACCCGCTGATCCTCCCAACTATGACTTTTGTCACGACATGAAATAATTAATTGGATTCTTAGTTTGACCCAAAGCTAAGTGTAAAAATATTGTTTTTGATCAGCATGAGGTTCTACCTAAATTGAAAGACAGTGTGCGGCATGTTCCTTTCAATCTTTTTCTGGTAAGCTCTCTAATGCAGTCCTCCTTCTGTGTCATGCCTACGATTCATTGTACAGTCCTCTTGCAAAGAAATAATGAATGATTGCCAACACAGGAGAAGATAGGGAAGAATATTGTGTCTATCATTAGAGAATAGTATGGATACACTGAAAAAGTACGGATGTCGAAAGGTCCGTGCAGAAGTATGGAGAACGTATGGATGTTTTTGCTTAAAAGTGATTCAAAATTTTTGCGATAAACCTAGAGGTACCTTGGAGGTACGCGATTTTTATACATAATTTTTTTATATTACGTTCCTGCAAATTCTCAGTTAGATTCTGGGTTATTCAGTTCATTCCTTTACAATTCTTACATCTAACTCTGCTAATCTGAATGTGCTTATCTTTTGCAAAAATCTGTCCTTGCCAGTATTCAAAAGGTTTGTCAAGGGAGAAAAAAAGCGTGAAAAAGGCAAGGAAAAAGCAAAGATTTTAGGAAACCTTGGTAAAGAGGAATTTTTGGGACGTATAAAAAAGTAGGGATTTTAGAAAATACTTACCCATAGGCACCCTGCAAGAACAGATACGTCAAAGCGATTTTCACGTCTCTGTTAATAAAGTCTGTTTGCGTCTGAAAATAATGCGTTTCTGCACATGAATATCGCTGCTTTTGTTTGTGGAACCAAAATAAGCTTCAGCATAGAATAGGTACCCTCATGAATTTTTATCATAATGTATTAAAGCTGTTCACCCCTTACTGCGTTGCTTCGCTCTTCCATTGGGTTCTAATAATCAAAATTAAGTTTTACAGATCCTCAACTTTCTTTTGAACAAATAATGTTTAAAGCTTTTAAAGTATGTATTGGTTTCATCTGCAATACTTTCCTTTCTATGAAACATTCCACAGTTGGCACTCTTCCTTCGTAGTGGAGTTCAAAGAATTTTTTACATTATAAACCTCATCTAGCCAACTTTTTGATGAATGTTTGGTTTGTTTATTACAATAGGTGACTGCCCATGGGAGGCAGTCTTTTTAGCAGAGCAGTTTTTGACAAGTTGAGTCGAAAAATTGGAATCTGAGTCAACAGAAAACTTTCCATAGTGTCCTAAAGAATGAGATGGATGTGGGAAATAATTTTAGGGCCACTTAAGGGCACTAGGTTGCATTTAAATCCACTAATTTTCTGTCCTTAAAATGGCAGAATACAATTTTCAACTGCTTTTACTCGAAACTATGTTTTTTGAACACCATGATCTACAAACCACTTTAACTTTGGTTTAAATTTAGATTTTTGGGTGTTTTATGTCCCAAAATTTTCATAGACTCTCCTCTATAATCTGGTTTAGATAACTCTGTTTTGAATTTTTGTGGACTGAGGTTCTCTTTCCTGTGGACGGTCACATTTGGACCGCGTTTAGCAGAGAGGAACCAAGCCACATAAGCTATTGCTAAATTTAATTGGGCAATTTAATTTATTACAAGAGAACGTTTGTGCGGATTCCTTTGAAAATTTCAAGGAGTTTACATTGTGCTGTGTCAAAATTCACTGAAATCTGCATAAAAATCTGCACAACTCCTTATGTTCTAAAAATTAAATTGCTCAATTACAGATGGCAATAGCTGATGTGGCTTAGTTCTTTTCTGCTTAATGCAGTCCATTCTTACAATCATCGTATGATTTCCATTAAAGTGCTTCCAGTTGACACTTGTCTCCCCATAAAATTATCGAATTCCTTGGTCGCAATTTTGACGCAAGATTATAGGTGGTGACAGTGTTATTTTAATAAGTAGCCAATTAAATTTGAGGTCTTGAAGAGATGCTTTAGACCTCAAATCGAATTTCTTTTAAAATTTGTACATGGATATCTTTTTAGAGTATGTCTCTGGACTAATTACCTACATTTTATTGTCATGTGGAAAATCAATAACAGGTAATGTCCTCTGTCTGAGTAAATAAAACTCTGATGTACCTACCGTTCGAGTTACTTTTTGATCAATGTCTTTTTTAGTGAATCTTTCAAGCCTATTTTTTTAACAATTTATTTAAAGTATCGTTTTACAGATCTATTTTTGTCTAAAGTCTAGTCTTTCATCTACTATCTCATCTAGTTATTTTCCTTTTATATTGTAATGTATGTTTTGTACTGTTTTTATCACCACTTTTATTTCGTGATATTAAAGTTTTAAAAATAGATGCATTTTTTTTATTCATGATGACAGCTCTCCCATCTTTTGCACGTCTTAAGTTGTTTAATCTTTTTCAATGACTTCTGGCAAAAATTAAATAAAGAAGGCAGTTTTCATCAGATCTGTGAGAGGGATTTTTTCGCAGGAGAAAATTTCTCGTAACTTTTTGCAAAAGCATGGAGGAAGAAAGTCTGGTAACTTTGACTCATAATCTCAAAAATTGAAGAGGATATTAGCCCAGAAATTCTGAGACAAAATACTTGGGTTGTTGAAAAATGTGTTTAAAGTAATTGCAGGCAGTCAAGAAAAATTTTCTCCTGGAGGCTGCCAGGTCTCTTTCCACACACTTTTCACTCTCTTTTCAATCACTTGATATTTCTTTGGATACGAATTTAGGTAAATAATTCATTCTTCATTTCATTTCATACCTTTTATTTGCAATTCTGATAATTATTTTCCATTTTCTGATCATCCTGGGTATCTTTTTTCCTAAATAAACCCTACAACTACCGAGTTCCTCAAGGCCATAGACACTATCATGAAAGGCGAAACTTACAAATAGAGACTTTCGTACATAAAATAGTTTTATTTTAAAAAATATGATTGGTTTCAAACAGAAAATTACAAGACGGAATGACAGCAATTTTGAAACTTTTTGACAAGCAAGATGAACAGAGGAATTGTTTACAACACGTAACAATACAAACGTTATTCACAAAATTTCTCTAAGTTCAACAGATGAGAGGTTTGACACTAGGGGAATCAGGGGAGAAAAGAGGAGGAGAGATCGATCAAAAACAACTTTGGATTTAAAACATTTTGGGAAAATAGAGACTTTTTCTCCTGCAGATTTAAAGTTACTGTAGGTAACATATCAACATCGTCGCTACATGAATTTGCTCTTGGTAGAAGTTTGCACTTGGTGCAAAGTTAAAGAGAAAGACAGAAGATGATATAAACAAGGAGACAAAATAGGAAAAAAAGAGAGGAAGTGAGTTTTGGTGGAATATGATTTGAAGAGGTGATGAGAGATTAGGTGAGCAATGATGTTTTCAACACATACTAAATTTCAATGACATTACATTAGTTCGAACTCTGAGGTGAGTAACTTGAAGAATACAGGAAAGTGAAACGTCAACAGTGAAAGTGACTAGGCATTTTGATAGAATGTGTCTCTAAAAAACTGCCTGGATTAGGGTTACTTTTGCTCTTAATCATTAAAGATATCATCGAAACTCTGAAAATAAAACACAAGCCCACCTAGTGGTAGAGAGATCTTCACAAATAAATATTTCGGTTACCGTTACAGGTCACTTACAGGTATTTGGTAGATATAATAAAGTGGCGTGGCTTATTTGGCACCTTAATTTTAGAGAAAAAATCGACCTGGATTCCCAGAGACTTCAACACTGGAGCAGCTTAAACACACGAGTACTGCTTCACTTGGTGAACAAACACAATGTGCAACTACTCCAAGTGGGGAAAAAAAATCCTGTTAGATCCCTCAATTACTAATTTATTAATACAATTTTGTGGTCAAAACTTCTGAGATTTGATTTTTACAAATTTATTAACTTGATAACATATTTTTCTAATTACAGAACACTAATTGTTCTGAAGTATGCTGCCTCAGATTGATTTTGTGAAACATGAGGATGAAATTGACAATGCAGTAAATTTTCTTACAACTACTACTCAATTCTATATTTTTCGAGTTTGTTTATTTCATAATATGACGAAGCAAGATATCTTTAAATGTATCTTTATCTTCCGGGAGGACATTTTCCTTAACCTCTTTCATGAGCGAAAAGGGAGAAAATCTAACAATCAAACTCGGAAAGCTCAAAAATTGCAGGAGATATGTATCTAGAAGTTCCAAGAACAATATTCTTAGGTTGTAGACAGAGATGGTTTAAGCCCTTGGAAAAAGTTAAAGAAAATAATCTCTCAGGAGATAAGGGCCCTATTCATAGCATTTTTGTCACAAATAGGTCTGGCAGAATTACTGAGTCCTCTAATTAAAACGACATTGGTAAAAATGAGCGAAGTTTAACAGAAATGCCCCCAGTTGCATTTTGAAAAAATAAAAAAAAAAGTTAGGAGTAGTTTCGAATTTAAAAAATCCTAACTTTTTTTTTTTTTTATCAAAAATACTAAGTGGAGAAGAAATATTTGTAACAAGAAAAGAGGAGCTAAGCATTGTTTTTAATATTGAGCCGAATGGAGAGATAGAACTTAAAACTTCATTTCTTCGTCAGTTCAAACTTATTGCAATTTGATGCATTTCTGTTAAAGTCAGTAGAAATAGAGGTTTTGAAGAAAGGCACATTTTTTGGGGCAAATATTCACTTGAAATCTGATTAAAACAAGTTAACTAGAGTTTTGTTTACAAAAATGATTTGAGTTTGATGATGGTAAAATACCATTTCAATCTCAGTAATCTTTCCTTAACATTTCATACAGCAAGCCTTTTAGTGAAATGAACACTTGTTAATGTGTCTTCAAGTTGCAGTCACGCCTACCAGTTCCTGTAAAATGAATTCTCTCCAATAAATGAGGCTTCTTTCTTGGAGAGTTGTGAAAGGGTCTGATTCCACTCAACATTTCTTAGCTTTGTCAAATAGAAGGAAAATAAATCAAAAGCCAACAACATCAGCTAAAGATGGAGATCAATCAATTCTCTTGGCTTTGAAAAGGAACGGAAGAGAAAATTAAATGCTCATGGCATCAAAATATTATGGTAGTGATAAAAATGTAAGTTAACCAATGACTCATCCTTAGCCAGAAAAATCTGAAGATTCACAAAAATCACTGATCGGACAGAACTTGTAAAAAAAAAAAATCACATTTCGTTACTTAATGAGGCAAGGTGAGTTTAAGAAGTTTCAACAAAATAAGGGACCAACGAACTCATTTCAGAAAAAAAGTTAACAATTCATGGAAATATTTTGGTGGAATAAATTAACTTAACTTCCACTCAGAAAATGTCAACGGAAGGTATTCATAGAAGCATGCTGAGCAAAAATCAAGCAGGAGAATTTGCTGAAGAAAAGTTATTTTTTTAAATACATTTTTTAACAATATATGTTCAAACTATCAAAAAACTAGTGCAAATATAATGAAAAATCACAAAAATGCTGAACATTTAGTAAAATTTTTCTGAAAACAAAGATGGGAAATAGAAAAAAACATTCTGTGCAAATAGGGGAAAAATTGACAAGCAAATATATAGATGAAAATAATTTAAATTTAAGAACGGACAGAGGTTTCGGACTATACAACATACTGTTATCGAGGTGTTATCCAAGTCAGGTTCATTATTGATGTAGATACATGCAATGAAAGTAACAGTTGTCTTTAATTGAACAGAAATGTTCCAACCTCACCCGGAACCATGCAAGAGATGAAGATCAGCATGCTCTTGATTTTGCATCTTTGCTCCTTAGACATTTTTACGTTCTATCATGGCTAGGGCAAAGATCTTTGATTCTGCTAAAAAATTTGTCTACTACTATAGAGGAAGCTGCTAAACTTTAAGGGTGAAATTGAACCACTGATCAGGTGTAGAAAATCTTTAATAGAAAGACACATGAGTCTAGGGTTGTGAAGGTACAAATACAAATAAAATTCAGCAAGGACAAAAATGTTTAACTCCTTCAGCTGAAATACAACTCGACATATCAATTGCACAAGCAAATTGTAAGAATGTCTTCTTACTGTTCAGTTGCTAGATACAGCGAGACAAAATAATCAATATGATGAGCTGAGGAAATCAATACAACTCCTAAACAATAATATTATAAAAGTTTGAGTTCATTACTGAATTAAACAATAATTAGAGAAAATCTTGAGGATTCATCACTAGTCTACAAAAAGAGCATCAAAAACTAACAATGCTTCCCAGCTAGAATTTTCTTTCCAGTGATGAAAATGTGAAACATTACTTGCAACTGGGATATTAATATATTGTGAAGCATCAGTTTGATTTCAAAAATAAAACGGCTGCTCTCACAATATTTTGCAAAATTAGTTGTTCTTCAAGAGCAGCTGGATTCCTGTTATTAATAGAATGATCTCATCAGAATCATGATAGAACTCATTTCAGTTAAGTTGGCAGCTGTTTAATTCTGACCATTGGACACAGGAGACTGATTGACATTCCTGCGCCCGGCAACACCGTTGCCTACAGTCAATCCTCTATGGCTGTAGGACGACTGTAGTTGCAAACAACTGCTAACTTATCTGGCATGAGTTCAGGCTAAAGCACACGAGAAAATATTATGTCTTTAGAGCCTGTCTCCGAAGGCAGGGTTGGCGATTGACACAAATATGCATAGTGTATGCGTAAAAACAGAAGCAACCTCCATCTGAAAGCCTCAAAACTATGTAGGGATTTGGGTAACCTAGAATAAAAGCAGGTGCTCCCATTCCTGTCTTACGTGGAGAAGCAATTAAGCAAAAAATGGACTATCCACACAATACATTGAGAGATAACTGTATGGACAACCAAGGGCTTTTTTTTTATGCGGATCACAGTGGATCGCGATGAACATCGGTATCTTTTTATTCCGTTCCTCAGCGTGATCCAAGCGTTCCAGGTGAACCAGGGTGGAACGCTGGATCGCTCTTCGAAGGTGGGGCCAGCTCGCGATCCACTGTGATCCTAACCTAATGCGAGGAAGTTGCCGTCCCCAAAAAATCAAAACAATAACAAATCGAACCCAATTCCAAGTTTGGATTTTTTTATCACTTGGAACACTTGGATCAGTCCGAATCGCTCAGGATTCCAATCCAGTGCGTTCCACTGCGATCCACCCTGATTCGCAATAAAAAAAAAGCCCTCTAATGGGGCTGGACAGTCCATTTTCCATCTGCGAGAGTACCTACTTCTGTAGCAGGTTACCCTAATAAAAATGAGATAGAAAACAGGAAGGGTCAAACCCATCTTTCATCATATTATACGGCAATATATACAACTAATTGACTAAAATAATTTCTATTTTCCGACTTTATACTGTGAGTGTGCGAAGTCAATCTGCTTTAACTGTAAAACCATTCCGTGTGAAATCGCACTTGCTTAGAATTAGGGTTTTTCAAACAAATATACAAATACATTTGATTGATTTGGGACAAATCAGTCGAGAGAAAATTTCAACTAGTAAGGTGCATGCCGACTGTAAGGATTTTCCCGGTATTTCCCACCACCATAACCTTGCGCTCCGTAACTTCCGGGGTAACCAACCGCACTGTAATCATAACCTGCATAAGATGCACCATAACCATCATAAGCTGCAGCACCATAATAATCGGCAGCTGTGTAGCCATAGGAATTCGCATAGCCTCCACCCCTTGGCATGTAGCCAGCATTACGGCCACCTCTTCCACCCATCGTCTCAGGGTTGAATTTGACTTTCTTAACATCTACTTCTTTACCACTAATGACTTGCTTTGGGTCCTTCAGAACTTGATACGCTACTGAGTCATCGTCAAACTGGATGAAACAAAACCCTTTTTTCTGGTTTTTCATCTTATCGAAAGGCTGCTGAAACTCGGTGATGGTTCCGTACTGAGAGAAGTGATCTTTAATTTCCTGCTCCGTCATTTCGGAGGTCAATCCACCAACGAATATTTTACACTTAAGAGGGTTTACCTTTTTGGTGATTTTCTTTGGGTCCACTTTCTTGTTACCAATGTAGTGATCACCAGCTGCGAGAAGATTATCTATCGTTTGGGCATCGGTGAAGACGACAAAGGCAAATCCTCGAGGGAGCCTAGTTGCTGGGTCCATTTTGATATTGACACTTTCTACTTCTCCAAACTGACTGAAATATTCCTTGATTTCGGTTTCTGACGTGTTACGACCTAAGCCGCCGACAAATAGCTTTCTGTCATCATCACGACCCGGTCCAGCCGCGCGTCCGTTAGCTTCAGCCATGATTCACAGATTTTAGCAGGAGAGATCAAATCGTAAATAACTCACAAATGCGTGGAAAATTGGAGCACAAATATTTCTAGAGTGTCAGATATTATCTAAGCGAAATTAAACTGCCAAAACAAGATAGATAAGATTGATAAACTTCAAGACGCCGCAAAAATGGACACGGTATTTTCAAAATAAACAAAATGGAGGGAAATGCGAAAATTCACAAGGGAATAAAACGCACAGAGGTATGTTCCCAATGGATCTCGGCGTACCCAACAAATAACAAGCCAGCATTACTCTCGAGTTTTCAGTTTATGTTTCGTGAAAAAATAAGTAACGGAACAAAATTTGGATAAAATTAACATTTTCTCCTCAAATAATGCGACTTGATAATCCAAAATTCACAACTCATCGAAATAAATTAATATGATACAGCAACTGGTGTTGTGCGAGCTGCATACACGTATGACCATAAGGAACCGGAAAAGGCTAGCATCGATTAAACGATGATGAATGAGACATATTCCTTCTAGTCTGATGAAACTCTGTGCTGCCTGGTCATTGACGTATAATACAATTGTATTATACGTCAATGTGCCTGGTGCTGCCATATTGGATTTTTTTGTTTCCTGTTTCCTGTTTCCGGTGACGCCATCTTCCTTCCTAGAGGCATTAATTTAGCGTATACAGCGTGGGTTTACACGTGACGCAGCGTTTCCTTCGATATAATTAAGATGTAAGTATTTATATTATCTGTAATTGTTCGCAAGAAGGTTCGTATTCAGTTATTATTTACTGTTTCAGCAGATTTTCAGGCTTTTTGCACCCTGCCGCCTGCCAATTTCGGGACCCATCACAGCGTCCTTTCTACAAGGCCTAAGGCCACCGGCCTTGTGCATTTTTAACATTATCTTACCAGACCGAAGCTAATTAAATTTTGGTAGCTTTTGTTCTGTTTCGTTGTTTTTCACCCTAATGTATCTCTGCTCATGTCGAGGCTGCCATAGCCCGATTCAATATTTCGTGGCTCTGAGGATCGTTGCCATCATACCTATCGGATCAGCCGTTGACCGAGATTGAGGAAGTACACGTATGATACTGATGGAGCATTTTGTACTGTACTGAACTTGAATGCAGCACATGCATCCCACTCTTGGATGTTCTTCGTTTAGCCTGTGCTGTCATTTTGTTGCTCACTTGCATGCCCCCTAGCTGCCCAATGAATCCTCAGATGTGATGAAAGCGGATTAGACGGACAGTAGTTTGCCTTGCCTGTTTTCGTCTTACCCTTAGACCCTTAGGGTTCCAGGTAATGTGAAAGTGAGAAGAAAGTTTTCACTGCATGTTACTGACAGGATGGAACTCTCAATTTTTTTTACACTAGTGCCTTGGTGGCTATTAACGGACGATCGAACAACTGGTTGATCGTATGGCGTGATAGGACTCAGTACCCTAATTTCGTTCTTTAAAGACCAGTAACATATCAGTATTTCTCCTTCTTCTCGACTTGGAGAGGAACATCTCCACTCTAATCCGGACTCTGAGACCCCTGTAAGTGCATGGATAATAGGGTCCATGTCATTATGGGGATCGTATCTTGTGATTTAAACACGTCTACTCAAGTGTTTCTAACTTCGTTGTTTACATGTTTGCGTGCTGAATGCATTAAAGCTCTCACATGCATTAGGAATTAGTAACTGAATTCTTCTTTTTATTTTAAATTTTGCGCTGAATTTAATGATTTAATAGGTCCTCTCAGTCACAATTTTTGAACTCCGAAAAAGTTTCAACAGTTGATGCTGTGACAGATAGAATCCCTCACGCCATGTTGAGAGTCCAACTCCATGTGAAGCTAAATTATCCATGCACAGGAGCTAATACTTTTGCAAGTTTGCTACCGGATGCGAGGAATCCATGTCTGGAATCTCAGTTACTCTCTTAATGTATCTGCCCCGTATTAGGGCTTGGAGAATTCGAATAGGTTTAGAGGTGAACACTTATTGCAGCATGGAGGATCATCACTATGGTCTTAGTTTTGACAGATTTTTGAGTCTGTCCCGGAGATAACCAGTGTGCCCACTCACTTGCCCTGCAAAATTTTACATCAAGATAAGAACTTAAATCGCACATCTCTGACCCATGCAAGAGCTTTATTTCTGATGGCAATTCTCAGTAAGAATAAATTTTCTCAACAGACATTGCCCATTAATTGATCTAACACAGTGCCAGCCTTTTATTTCAAAGTTCTGATTCACTTGAATTTTCCAGAGTCTCCAATATCACTGAGGCAGAGGCCCAGAAGATAGTGTCACGGCTTTTCCTGCAGTGAAATTCTTTCTGTAAAATCAATCCTAGTTTAAAAGCCTATTGCCCCTAACTGTGATTGATTTCGGTACATGAAAGCACCAATAGCTTTTGATTTCAGCCAGTGAAAATTGAATATTAAATTCTTTTCTATCGCTGATACTCTTACTTAAATGTAATGCATTTCTCCTAATCCATTTTATTAGAGCTAGCATATCGTATGTTGAGACAAACGTCAAAGTATTGCTTATGTCACCAATCATCGGTGGACTGCGTGTTTTAACCTGTTGAGTGGTGCTAATTCAGAGCCAATCAGAGATTCACATTTGTCTCATCATACAATGTGTGAGCTCTATCATTTTGAATTATGTATCGTAAGCAAGTTTAGATCACGCGTCACCATCTTCTGCTGTCCTCTTTATCAGTACACAATATGCTCTTGAAGTGTCACCTTGTTTTCCTACAGATGTCCATCTCTTGTTCCAACTAATTTCCTCTTCCTCTTTTTTTGTCACCAGAACGAATAATGAGCGTCATATGCCACCCACCAAGTTAAAACAAGCTTTTGCTTTCGAATGCTGAATATGGATTGGAGTATGAACTGGACTTAATTTCTTTGAGGAATCCTTCCATTTTCAGCCCGACATACATTGTGGTCAAGTCATGGAGTAGAAAACAGTGGTAATTTTCTTATTATTCTCTATATTTTTTAAGGTAACAGGAAATCATGCTTTAACAGTTCAGGATAAGTATCATAGCTTCATGCTGTAGGTTACAAGCACCATATAACTTTATCTTGATTCCACTTATGTTAACAGTCGCAGTATTAGAAAAATAAAAGGGGAATGGGTCATACTCTAGCTTTTATTATGGAGAATCATATTGAGCTGTCAGCAGGGAGCTCTTTTCCTTGCATTCATATAATGCAGCAAGCGAAAAACACCCTAAAGAAGGCACGGATTAAACAATATTTTTATTTGAAATGGAATTCTTGCATTCGATAGCCGCAGTTTCCAGTTCCCAGTTTTATCGGGACTCGTGTTGATGTTTTCTTCGAAAATTTTTGTTTTTACCTTTTCTTCCTGATCTGGTTATCTTCCTGTTTTTAAAATGACGATGGTCATTTCGGGATCTGAGTATCCTGTCATCAGATCTTCTGATCACTCCATGGTTTCTACTTGTCTCATGATAAAACTGATTTAAACCAAAACTAATTAGACGCTGTATTTACACTCACATCGCGAAACGGTGGGTTATCATGAGGGCCGATTCATCACTCAACATTACTCGATTATTTATGCAACGAGGTATTTTATTCAAGGTATGTATTTAATGAGACATTGTAGCCGAAAGCAATGGTGACCACTGCTTCTGAAAAAAAGCACTTGAAAGTAACAGTAATTCATTACCATTTCACCATGATAAATGTTGAGTTACACAACTATACAGCTTACGGTAGGTACCAGAAATGCCACAATTTATTTTTATTTTGCTGGAAATGCTCCAAAACTCTGCGAAGCTGCCAATGTTTCAACAAATAGCACCATAGCAACTACTCCCTGCTACTCGTGATGAGCTACCTTTCTCTTTTAATGCAATTGCTGTTCTGCGACAATTGGATTACTGTGTGAGTTTATTTATTATTTCATATTGCCCATTAAAACCACAGTTTTGGTGCATCAATGCTCATACCTTCAATAATAAGCTTTCGGGATAAAAACTGCAGGAGAAGAACAGCATAGCAGCTTTATACATAAGTGATTTTTCACTCCATTTGTGATCCGGACCACACCCCTACAGTTATTTGAGTATTCCTCTACGTTAGTATGAATTATTTGTTGCGTCTTCACAAGGACGCTCATGATAAAGACTGCCGAATATTTTAGGAGAACTTTCGCTTTTTTGGGGATTGTATTGGATGAAATCCTCTTGACCTGCGGGAGGTATTCTCGGAACTTTTGCTTCTGAATTTGCACTGGCTCATACGGAGCCTATGATGAAATCAAACCAAAAGCTAATAATATAGTAGCCATTCATTTTAGCCAACAAAATTTTACAAGGCTTAACTCAAATTTGGAAGGTAGGACTGCTGAATATCTTGCATTAACATCATAATTTTTAATCGTGAGAATGATGAAAACTCCTTTTGTCACAAACTTTTCGAAAGAAACAATGCAGGCACTGTTTGTGCAATAAATACAGAACCAGGTTTTTAATTTTTAAAAGCATTTTAATTTTCACTGGTTTTTCATTTTGAACTGTTCAGAATTTTATTTTACACTCATGCACCGAAGTTGTTATGCATGATGAATTGCTGTTCAATAGCGTGTTGCTGTGCTTTTTATTTCTTGCATCGTTGCATGATGTAAAAAGCAATCTATGCAGGGATCAGGAGAAACACCATGACGTATAAAGTGATGTCATGCAAATATAAGTCTGCTTTTATGTCAACGCAATTGTCTTTTTCATCAGCACTGAACCAAATCACATGACCGCATATGGTGGTTTTTTGAAGGCTCATTTCTCCTCCCAGAGAACATGGAACCAACTTATTTTTTTTGCGTTAGCTTTGGAATAGGATGACAATTTTTTTAATTCATCATTGCTTTTGATGGTGCTGGCAAATATTCATGCTGTCGAAAATACACTCATTACACTGACCTTTCCCGGCAATGGCAAAATATTCAGTGCTACTATTATAGTCATCGAAATCTGAAGTAATTTTTTGAGCTTCAAATTTGAATGATAACTTATTCCTGGGTTACAGAAGCCCAAGGTTTCTGAGGGAATGAGGGTATTAGGGAACTCAACTGAAAGGAATGCATCCTGAGCCATGAAGTAAAAGTTGTTAGTATTTAAAATTGTTGGACATATCACATGTCACATATTTGCAGATGGCACTGGATCTT